CCGGGCGAGGAACAGTGTGGTATGCAATACAGTATACGCAGATGAGCTCTGCGTCGAAGTATGCACCTGAAGGGTATCCAACGAAAACTCGAGCTGCTGGGGGAGCGTCCCCACAAACAAATCGAGTGCAGTCGACAAGCGGTGATAATCGGAGTTCGTTGCATGGAGGAGCACATGATCGGGCCTGGAGTGTTTGTGTTACATTGCGTCAGTCCGTACCTTGCCAAGACTGGGGAAAATCAATTCTCACATGTCAGCCCACTCTTGAATCTTGCCGAATATCTCCATAACCTTGACAATTTGCGCGAGAATCCGTTCCTCTCCGCCTGCTTCCCTCATTTCACCGTTCCGACGGGCATTCAGCAGCTCGTTTGGACAGAGGTAGCCGCTCTGCAACGACGTGCCAAACATGAAGCCACGCTCCTCGCATGGGAGCTGTACTCTGCTTGCTTCGGTCGAGGACACGCCGCTCGGGTAACCTCGAGTGGACGCGAACGCTCGGTCCAGGATGAACACGGACCAAAACGTGCGTCGACGGATTTCCTTGTCGACGGTTGAAGCCATTGACGATTTGACCGACGTTCCATTCCCGAGCTTGCGGCGCTTATGCGACGGGCCATCCGAGTCAGGGTCCGGGGAATTCGGTTCAGGCATCGACCCATCATCAACCCACGTCAACTGAAGCCTCCCGGACATCCGAATTGCGAGCCCCAACCACATGTACGCTTCTGGGGCGCGAGCTTGACCCCACTCGTGCACGCTCAGCATGAGCAGCGCCTGCAGCTTTTCCAGCGTCGGGTTGAACAGATCGTCTTCTTCGTCATTCTTGAGGCGGTACTTGAGGGCGGCGGCATAAAACTCGGACACCGCCGTTGGAGTCGTCAAAGCCTGTGTTACAAGAGCGGGAATGTGGCGACCCGTCAAGGCCAGCATTCCGAGCAGCAAAAGCGGCGAATGCGGTTTCTCGGGTGCAGGCGGTGAGGAGCCAGACGAAGACGTAGAAGGGGCCGATGCCCGCAGCCGGTTTAGGAACGTTGGGGGGTGGAGAAACGGCAACAACGGTGAATGGTGCAACTGAAATGCGTCAAACTGTAATTGCTCGTCAGCTACCCAGTCCAGCAGCTCAGGATTACCAGCCTCGGCGCCATACAATGAGCTTCCACACAGGCTGCGTCAGCGCTGCTGATTCGAGACACTCCCTCCAATACTTGGGGGTGTTTACGGTGGCCGTAGTAGCTGGTGCAGGCACACACGGCGGTTTCTTGACTTTGGGTTTCTTGGGGGCCTTTAGCACTCTGTCAGCGGGCAATCGCAGACAGCGGGGGACTGCTCCAACCTCTGATCTCTCATTTCCGGTGATACCTGAGCCTCCGTGAGAGCTGGAGCCCATGATCAGTCCTCCAGTAGCGGCAGTACCAGAACGAGGGTTTCCCGGCTGTCCCGGCGCGGGATATGTGCAGTCTCGATTCCCGTTCTCGCAGGCTTTGCACATTGTATTTGGCCCATTGTTGACACATTTGACTTTGGAGCGCCTGCACCGTGCGCAGGCAATCGAGGAGCGCATGATTTTCCCTGGATGGTCGGGATTGGCGGGGTTCTTCCCGCCGGGAGTCGTCTGTGTAGCGCGTCAGCTTCAGTACAATTCAACCATGAGGAAAAAGATGATGAACACAACGAGGCTGAGTGCTGAGCAGTGGAGAAGCCATCATGATCATGGGGAGACCAGAATGATGTTGAGCAGAAAGACCAAAGCTGCAACAGCTTCACCCACCACCGACAGCTTTCCTGCCATACCACGTTCATCCAGCCCCGTTGCTCCACCATCGAGCACCACCACCACACTTACCGTGCTCTGGGGCCGACTAGGACCGCCCTGACGCGATCCCGAGAATCCTTGCGCCGACGTCGTGATGGTGATTTTTGTGGGGTGGAGTAATAAGGCGTATTGCGGAGGGGCGTGGGGTAACGGACGCGGGGAGGAGTAGGAGCCGGGGATATAGATTTGCTCAGGTCGAGTATACTGTTCGGTAGCGGTGTCGGCGTCGGTGCTGTGTTGGAAGGCTGTGTGGTTGTGGGCTGTAGATAGTAGGTTGGATGGAGGTTGGAAACCGCGACTACGGATTCTACGGAACGATGACAACGACCACGACTTTCCGGCTGGGTTTGTGGCGTTACGTCGCAGCAACAGCAGCGAACGAACGAGCAAGCAGCAGCAAGCAACAGCAGGAGCCGTTAGATTTCGGGTCGGGCGGTAAGTCGACGATGAGCGTGCGGCCGATATCCGGGTAAAACCGAGGTGAGTGACCTCGGCGAGCGACGACGACCACGATGTTGATGGCGTCGGGCGTGATTATTGATCCAGGCACGACAGATGGCCACTTGGGCTTGCGCACCGCACCAGTGCACGCGTCCGTCGACTTCCTCCTGGCCGCCGCCGCCGCCGAAAGGGTGAATGGGTAATTGGCGTGAGAGGGTTGGCTGCTGCGCCGAAAGTAAATTGGGAACAAGAACGAGCAGCAACCACGATGACCACGGGAGACCGAGCGTCGCCGAACAAGAAGAACAGATCAGGTCAGCGAACAACGGAGCGCGTGTTCGCTCACTGGCCCGATCCGTGAGAAAGTGAGTGAGCGTGAGTGTGAACGTGTGTGTGAGCGTGTGAGCGTGTGAGCGTGTGAGCGTGTGAGCGTGTGAGCGTGTGAACGTGTGAACGTGTGTGAGCGTGTCCGTGTCTGTGGCTATGAGCGTACGCCGCTGTTCTCACAAAGCTGCTCTGTCTCGCGGGCGCGGGACCGTCGGCGTCTGTAATCCCGTCCGTTCGTTCGCTCTCGTCGGCAGGAACGGGCGGACACTTGTCAACGGAACGCTGGTGGGCCGAGATGTAAAAATGGTTGACACGAGCAGCCGCAGGACGCGGGATTCCCAGTCTTCGGCGGAGCGGCCAGTAGCCAATAGCCAGCGGGTGACAGAACGGACAGGCAGCCAGCCAGCCAGCCAGCCAGCCAGCCAGCCAGCCAGACAGACAGACAGAGACAGACAGACAGACAGCCAGACAGACAGACAGCCAGCCAGCCAGACAGACAGACAGACAGACACAGATAGACAGACAGCTAGATAGACAGACAGACACAGACAGAGCGTGTTGCATGTATCGTAACAGTATGGGACTTGGTGGAGGTGAGCAGTGAAGACACCGTGTGGGCGCGGCCCCGGGTTATGGGAGAGCGCAAACCAGTTGGACGCCGCTCGGCGGTCGGTGGACCGTATTTTCCGGAATGGGCGGGGGCCCGGAAGCACCCAACATCTTCATCATCATCATCATCATCATCATCATCACCAGCATCATCATTATCATCGTCGTCGTCGTGGGTAAAAGCCGCGACCAGCACTCACACCGTGTCCACATACAAACATGCCCACAATCCGTTCCCGTACTGTATAGATAGCGCACCGCACCTCATCTCATCTCCATCATCGGCCGCATCAACGGGCGCCTGCAACACCTTCATCAAACCCCATCCATAGCCAACACCGACGCTGGCACCACAATCACCATCGTCAGCATCATCATCATCATCATCAAAATCTATCCATCGGTTGGCTGGTCGGTCGATTGTGCTCCACCCTCCGCGCTCCTTCCCTCCCCCGTTGTTCCCAAACTCATCCGGCGCATGCGGCGCGGTCTTCCGAACCCGGCGGGGGGGAGGAAAGTGGACCAGCTGCGTGCGTCAAACTCCAACTCCGAGGCTGGTCGTTGTTGTTGTCGTCGGCTGCCCGCCCTCTGCCCGGAGATGCCGCACCGCATACAGATGCGGCCTGATGCGATGCGGTGCGCGAGGTCAGGAAACAAACACCAAAGTTCGGAGATAGAGTGACAGAAAGTCTCCAGATCTCCGTTAGATGCGATGCGTTCATCAAAAGGGATCGCAGTTCATGGTGGGGAGGTATACCACGCATGGAGTGGAGTGCGTCTTCTACCCGCACGCGTACCCGAGCCGAGAGCGCACCCAAAAGAGTGCGAGAGTCCGAGTGCGCCATTAAGGTTCTTGCATTCTTTGCCATGATTAAAACCTTAGTTTGATTCCGTGGTTTCCCGAGCCGGCGGAAATCAATATACTTGAGTGGGTGTCAATAATATTGACACCATACAATACTGTCGAGCTCCGTAAACTGTGTTAGTTGTGTATTCCGTAATGTCCCATCACCAACTACTAGCGCTGGTGCACTGTGATTGAGGGTAACGCCAGACAATACCAAATAGGTGCCCTAATCGTGAGGAGGTCGTGCCGTGGTTCTGATGTTGTAGATTCAAGTTTGCCGGCTCGTGGCTCACGGTGATTCAAAGGGTATTTTAAACTAGATAAACGTTAAAATGCAAGCAAAATGCACCGGTGATATAGAGTGAGGGATGGGGACAGGTCACCTAGGTATGGCGTGAAGATTTGCTGGAGAGAGTGAGGAGCAGAACCTGGGGTGGGAGTGAGAATCCGTGATGATGGAATAGCTCACAAACGGGCTTGCAGCGGCGCCCACTCCTAAACGGCTGTATCTGAAATAGTGATAGCACTCATGTTTGCAGGTCCTTTACTGGGCAGTGTCTGTAGGTGCTTGACCCCCGTGTCTCATGATTACTGCAGTGAATGGATTGTGAAAACTTTCGGGCATTTCATAGAAGGCCGAGAGGTCGACATATCCCACAATCATGTCTTAACCATTGAGAGAGCGACAACCGGTACCTGATCGCCAATTTGTAGTCCTGAGGATACCCACGCCTGTGTTATTTGGGGGATAGCAGCAAGAGATGAGGGTTCTGGAGGAGCGAGCTCTCTGAGAATATCTGTATATCGATTAGCTATTAGGTTCTTCTTATGTGGGGTATGAAAAAAAAAAAAAAACTCTCCTTATAGGAGGGAAAGATTTTGGGCTGCGGGGATATTGGGCAGACAGGTGGTAAAAGGAAAGAACGTCCGCAAAAAAAAAAGATCGAAAAAAAAAAAACACGTCAAGGACAGGATTCGAACCTGCGCGCCCGAAGGCATCCGCTGATGCTGCATCTTGAGAGGATAGCAGGCGAACGTGTTAACCACTCCACCACCTTGACTGATGACCTTGAGTGCAGATTTAAAATTTATGAAGTACACTAACTGATTTGCGAATTCATTTCGACGTCACTCGGACATGAGGTAGACACGGCCGCCATCGCAGCGAAGGAAGCCCAGAGACACCTACATAAGCTGATTAGAAGGGCCAAAAGAAGCACCTGGCAGAAGTTCCTTCAAGAAGCCACCGACAAGCAAGTATGGATGGCAATGAGGTTCACCAAGCCCATAATCCCATCTACTACATCGACCCTACATGACCAGACAGGCAACAAGGCAGTGACGTTGGAGGAGAAGGAGACGATGCTACGAAAATCTGCTTTTCCCCCCCCACCGGCGGTCAGCCCTTCCAACCCCTCACCCTCCCGCACCAGACCAGGAAGCGGCGGTGCAGCCTATCTATCCATCAACGAAGCTATGGTACGGGAAGCCTTATTTGCCCAGAATACAGGGAAAGCACCCGGACCCGACCACATCACATTCGCTACACTGAGGCTAGTCTGGGAATGGGATCCAAAAAGAATTACGGCGCTCATTCGAGCGTGCTTCGAGGTGAGCTACCACCCAGCCGCCTGGAAAAGGGCACGAGGAATCGTCTTGCGCAAGCCAGGTAAAGCAGACTACACGGCTGTGAAATCATACAGAGTGATTTCACTCCTCAATTGCCTTGGAAAGGTGGTCGAAAAGATCGCAGCCCAACTCATCTCCGCACACTGCGAAGCCCAGGGCTCCA